CAGAACTGGTTTTATGTATTGTATCCAGTGTTGCCAGGTCTTCCGCATGAGAAAACGTCCCTCTTGGTCTGAAAAAACGTCATTTCCTACCCAAAAACGTCTTTTTCAAATGAATGTACAAAAAATTATTCTTATTTAAACTTTTATTGTATACAAAGGTACATATCGGGCCCTAACCGCCAAAATAACGTTAGCGACATTTTTTCAAAATTTTCTTTTTGATGCAGAAATATTCCTAGAGCGTCTAGATGCATTTCTGCAGCAAAAAGAAAATTTTGAAAAAAAATGTCGCTTACGTTATTTTGGCGGTTAGGGCTCGATATGTACGTAAGGTATATTAAAATATCATTTCGAGAGAGCACATTTAAAATTCATTGTAAACTGGTCTGAGATCGTTAATATAAAAATCATTTTATACATACAATTGTGATCAACTGATTAAGTCATCAACATTTTGATCGATTTTGGCTGTTCCTCTTTCGTTTATACGTCCAAATGACGTTAAAAACGGCAACCTGGCAACGCTGATTGTATCCAAGTTTTCATTTAGTTAAGTATTGGTGCTGTAAATCCATAAATCCCGAATTTTCGGGACCACGATGATGTTTAGGTATAGAAAGAAGAAGCATGAGTGATTATACGATATTTTTGCAATTAATAAAGGCCTTTCACACACGTTCATTAAAAGATTGTTAATCCCTAGGTTTCTTAATTACAATTTATCCAACCGGAAAAATGAAAAATTTCTACGTAATATGTTATAAAGAAAGTTATTTGTAATACAATAAAGCAACACCTGCAAGCCTAAAATGGCTCAAAAATCGTAATACAGAGCTCCATGCTTCGTTGTATCTGTAAATTATATTATGTATGTAGATACTCACTTTATCTTATTAATGATTAATTGAAATTTCCTTCTTGTCGTTCATTTTCGATACTAAATAAAATAATCCCGAATTTATACTTAATGCAAATTTTAGCAAAACTAATCTCTTTTCGTGTAGATATATTGTTGTGGATAAAATGGGGATGGTCCTAAAGTGAGCTAGAAAAGTTTTCATACTGATTAAATTATATTTCAGTGTTTGTAATTTCAGTTCTTGCACAGTTCTAGTTTTTGAAAATACAATACAATTTATTGAAAAGTGATGTGTTACTTAATAGAATTTCTGAATAATAAAAAGTTAGCTGTGCAAAAAAAGAGAAATTAGTTGTGCCATTACTGTGCATACATATTTTACTGAAAAAAATTTACTTGATGCCTCATAAAAGCATGTTTTTTATGTAGGTCTTCCTGAGTATATCGACTAAAATTCCCTCAACTTGAGCATTAAGCATGTTTTCTGAAATTGATTGTAATAAAAATTGCGATAAAAATTTAAATTTAAACATTATTTCATTGAAGAAAAGTATCTGAATTGAGGTAGAAAGGTTTTCTCATAGAAATGTTGTAAAGTTACCCCAAAGTTTCGATTTTCTCAGTTTTAAGAAATATGCTTAGTTAAATATTAAAAATGCTGTAACACTTCATTAAACCTGTAAACGAATTTAATATAAAATACTTTTTTCTGGAAATTTTACCGAGTTAGGTATAACTTTATTACTCCAAAACTATTTTTGATAGTTTTTTTTTTCTTGTGTGACTATTGGTGGACATCTAGGATTAGTTAGTAATTAATGTATTTGTCGGTTTGGGCCGAGACCGGAAAAATTAGTAAATTACTTCTCTCTTCGCTAAGTTGTGCCAATTGTGCATCCCCATTGCGGAAAAAGTGTCGAATAAACAGCCTACATACATAGAAAAAAAGAAACTATTTTTTATACGATTACTCTTGCTGCTCACTGTATGTGTATGAATTTTTAGATTAAGATTGCTTACCTAATGCATTGTAGGTATTCACAAAGATGGAAAACCTGACACTTTGGCTTTTTAAAATCCAAGTTCTATGGAGGAATGTATGTATGCAACTTATGCTTTCCCTTCCGAGGAAAGCGTTTTTTTTTAAATAAGAACGACTCTTTACTTGATCCGCATCTCGCGGACAATTGTCAGAAGTGAAACCTTTATTTCAAGTGTCCCTTATTTATAAGCTAACATTTGTTTTCTTAAGAACTAATTTCACAATAGGGGTATTCTCGAAGTCTTGCACGAAATGCAAAAATTCTAATTCAAATTTCGAAGAGAACGAGAGCACCCCATTACAAAGTGGTATCATGCATGGCTAGCAGGCAGCGAAATTATGTATCAAATACAATAACAATAGACAGCAAAAAAAATGAAGTGAGCGAGATGAGAGGAATTCATTTATCTTGCTATGCTATTTTCCAAAATATATACATGGGTTTCGACGTTGCGTATTTTGCGGCGATAGGAAATGTATTTTGTTGTTGTGTGTTTGCAAGTTATGCAATCCATGCAATCCGTGCTACGTGCAATGGCTTTGCAAGATTTGGAGAATACCCCTAATGACGCTTTGGCGTTGCATCAGCCAGTGGATTGATGAAATGCCAATACGTAAGAAATGCGGTATTGTTTTCTTAATTTTTTATTAATGTTGGCGACTGGTATTTTTTAGATGGTGATGTCCTACGAGAAGTAGAAATACTAGTCGCATCATTCCAGTTGATGGGATAGTCTGCCAATTCATCCCCCCGTAAAAGGCAAAATTTTTGAGATGAAATTAGATTTTCAAATTTCAAAAGCTGGTGGCGCTGGTCGCAAGAGTTGCTCGAAATTGCCGAACTAGTATGCCATCGCTTTAGCTAATAAATACTAGCTCATTAACTGGTATTTTTACTGACTGGTTTGGCTTTTCACTGCAGGGTACGGACACTCGTGCACTGTACAAACACACGTAGATGTATATGTACGTTCATATCGCTCATTTACTTCAATATTGTCATAACTCAAGAAACCAAACACTGGAGAAAACTTCTTTAAAGATTAAAATTTACATCTAAAATGGATTCATATTTTTTTGTTAAAGTGAACTACTGCTAATCGGTTTATCTATGGAATCTTTACACAGTATAGAAGAACCAGTAGCGGTCATTTCTGCATACTTAACTTGATTGTGTATTATTTTGAATTATGTCACTATTGAAGTGAATGCACCTACTTTTATCAGCACTTCCTCGACCATTCGCTGGTTTCGCAATAATTGCTGTGTTCGTATGGAATAGTAGCTTATGTCTGGAAGCTGGCTTTAGTATAATGCGGCATTCCCTTTATTCTTTAAAGGACAAGGAATTTTTAGATGAGACTTAATAAGAATATTGACTTGCTAGTATCGAAACTATTTCTGCACTTTTATTTGCCAAAAGTTCTTCAACGGCTCGGCGCTGGTGAGTCATTCGCAATCGTATGCTGCGAATGCCGCATTATACTAAAGCCAGCCTTTCGACGTAAGCTACTATTCCATACGAACACAGATTTTATTTATGTTCAGCTACAGGGTGGGCCAAATAAGACCTACCAATGGTAAACTTATTTTTTAATATTTTTTTTCTGCATATTATAGTTAATCTCTTGGAAAATCATAATGCATACTTACAGCAAGGCCACCAACAACGACTACAATGCGCTATTCGTTTTACATAATTAGCCACACAAATTGATTTTTTAGGTAATGTTTCGATGTCGGATGAAGCGCAATTCCAAGCGAAACTGTAGATTTCGGAGCTCGGAAAATGCAAGGGCAACACACCAGCACCAGTTACACTCATCCAGATGCACTGTTCGGTGCGGTGTTAGGGCCGAAAAAAGTTATCGGCACATATTTCTTCGAGAATGTGGATGAAACGCCTGAAACGATTTCTGGGGCTTCTTACTGAACAATGATTGAAAACTTTTTGCGGCCAACGGCAGAGCAGCATTCTAAAGGCTTTGTTATGCATACTTGGCATTGCATGCACTGCTATACCATTTTTACGTAGAAATCAAAAACCAACAGACTTTTACATATGTAATGCTGTGCGTTGGGTAACCGCTTACACGCGAAGCTCATTTAACAGATTCCTTATGTGACAACGCTCAAGCAATGCCAAGTATGCATAACGGAGCCTTTATTTGTGGTTCCGACAAGATGTAGCGACTTCGCCAAGATATAGCGACTGCGAACACTGCTAGGCAAACTATGGACCTATGAACTATGGATGGTAATTATTATTTGGCCCACCCTGTACTAAAAATAATTTTATGGCAAGTAGGTTAAATATTTCACTAACCAAATGGTTTGTGCTTGCAGTTCTCAATGGGTTTATAGAATAACGTGGTTATAATTTTGCTTGGTTACTTGGTTTAGTTATCGCTTCTCGGCCTTATGGCTAAGATCAAAGTGTAGTATCTGTTCTTATCAGCTTAACATCTGATAGATCCTCCATCGGAGGACAACAAATGTTAAACTGATTTTTGGAAATGGGCGGAGTGTTTTAGGGGCTTGCTCCACCTCTGCCGCGGGTTGGCCCGGTATTGCAGTACCGCCGGGATTTCGGCCCAAATTTTGAATAAATCACAACTTCGAACAGTGTAAATTAAAACCATAGCGTTACTTTGCATGGCGATGCCGTCGCAATTATGTCGCAGGAAAGTTTCAATATGAGAGCAATTAGTTATGTTGCAAGGTGGCGGATTTTGTGACAAAAAGTGGCTTGCGAGATTTTCTTGTCAGTGAAGAAAAATCTGTTAAAAAAAAATTAGGTTTGCAATAATTGAATATGTACTAAATAGAAAATGTTTGGATGTAAAAGATATTTTCTTAGTTCTTGAATTTTTTTTGATTTTGAAATTTTTCAAGTCCCAATAAATTTTAATTAATTAATTTTCGAATTAAAAAAAAATAACCGAAATTTAATTGAATTTAATTACTTCATATTAATTAATTCAAATACATTTAATTTTTTCCTTATCCTTAAATACCAAATGAAATTGGTATTTGCAATTCTCATCCACTTTATTTATGACCACAGTATTTCCACGTTATACGGGCAAGTTTAAATTCAAAAAGGGCGCTCGTCTTGCGCGTCCATTCACAACAGGGTTCAAACCCTGCGTGCAGACGCACTGCGGTGTCTACGTTCAACTTCAAGTAAATTATGAAATGGGTCTGCTTTTTGGCGACTTGCTTCGATTTTACGCGAACGTTGTGGACACTACAGTGGGGTATGGCCTTACATATCCAGTGTATAATTTTTGTCATATGAGATTCGAGCTGTCGGTGCATTGCTTTTATTTGCTTTCGGGCGAAATTATGCGTGGCACAAGAGCGCTTGGTCTCGTCTATGGGATTAATATCAAAATATAATGGTAAAGTTGCCAACTTGGTGCTAGTACAGGCAAACAAAAATTTAATAATCGATTCATCGCTTAATTGATTAATCGAAAGCACTTAATAATTGCAATTAACCGTAAAGGCGCTGGCCCAATGCAGGCTTGCTTCGCACGCCTTGCTTACAGGCAAGGCGAATTAATATAAGGTGATAGCAGGAGTACAAAAACAAAAATTTACATGTATTTTGTTTTTGCTTTGGCGGCATAAACTGTCAAAATCTGTAAGAGTGTGTGTAGAAATTCAAACAAAATTTTTCAATTTGATATCAGAAGCCGTACGGCGAAACACATACACAAAATCAGCTGAGCTAGTAACACCACCTTATATAAATTCGCCTTGCTTACAGGCTAACCTAATATTCACGCACGCCGCCAATTTATTGTCAAAAATTTCTCATGCACATGCAACTTGTATGAGATCAACCGAAATTGAACGGCGTGCGTATGAAGCTAACTCAATTTCCAATTTTTGTTCTGCGTGACATTTTGATTTGACGTTTCGCTCAATGAAATCAAATGCAAACGCATGCAAGTCAATTTCGGGTGACGCAAAAAAACAAATTCGACGGCATGCGTACCAAAACGCAAGCCGCGAATATTAGGTTAGCCTTTAATTTGCTTTGATTTACTTCAAAAACTCGTTTGGCCAAATGGCGGCTTGGAACGCTGTCAAAGCAACCAGCTGTGTAGTTGAAAAGTCAAGGTCTGTTTCCTTACACTAAAGGTACTGGCCCAATGCAGGCTTGCTTTGCTTGCTTCGCTCCGAGAAGTGTCAAAAATTATTTGGAACATACTGAAATGTATAAAGGCTGGCCAAATGGCAGCTTTTCTTCATTTGCTTTAAGCGCCTCAAAGTTTTAAATAGACAAAAATGTTTTATTTGAAAGCGTTTTGTAGGCTTTTGACAAAGAGGCATGTTCCTGTTCAAAATACATAAATTCAAACAAAAATTTGCTTACTTAATTTAAAAAAAAGAAATTCGAAATCAAATATAACATATCGTTATATTATAGTAAAAAATTGCAAAGCTCACTTTTACAAGTTTTACACGAGAGGAAAAAACTTCTTATAGCTCTTCTTCAAGTAAATCGCTTTTTTAAGTTATAGTTTTTTTAGTAACTGTAGATATACATATGTATGTGTCATTACTGCCAGTTTTTTTAAATACAAACATTATTTCGCATTAATTTAAAAATAAATCTGAAAGTTTTTGATACATCTTCTAGAGTTTTCTAGGAAAACAATAATTAATGTTAAGGGAACAGATATTGACTTTTCAACCAGAGAGCTGGTTACTTTGACAGCGTTTCAAGCCGCCATTCGGCCAAACAAGTTTTCAAACTAAATCAAAGCAAACTAAAGTCAGCAAGGCACCCAAAGCAAGCCTGCATTGGGCCAGCGCCTTAAGAATAATTTTGCCATCAAATTCCAGAAAATTAAAAAAAAAAGAAATACAAAACAATCTTTTCAGATTTATTTTTAAATAAATGTGAATTAATTTTTGCATTTCAAAGGAATGATAATAATTATACATACATATATAACTATATGTACATTTATTAGAAACAAAAAACTCAAAAAAAAAAACGATTTTTCAAGAGACGACTTAGCAGTAGTTTGACATCATAAATATCGCTAGCTTTGTGTGAAAAGTTGATAAGTCTGCATTTTATGAAGCCTCAAATTTTGACATAGAAAGTAAGAGAAATTAATTGTTTTATTTTTTCTCGTTTATATTCAATGAAAAATAAATTTTATAAGTCCAAAAGAGGCCCCGAATATGCAATAAGGCCAAAATAATACGAAATTTTTTAACAGAGATCGAATCCTTCTGATTTGTATGGAGTTTTGCTTTGCTTTGAACACGCAAAATGTATTCAAAGTTCCTGTAAAATTTGTAAAATTGGACTTAGCAAGTTTTCATTTTAAGCCAGCGACGTGTTAAATATAAATATGGAAACATAGATTAATTTTTATTAAACTTTGAATTACTAATATTATACATATATTTTTTTTAAATTACATAAGACAATTTTTATACCCGAGCGCACTTGTGCACAAGGGTATATTAATTTTGTTCACATAACGGTTGTTTGTAACAGCCAAAACGAATCGAGATAGATATAGACAAATGTATACATAAATGATCAGGATGAAAAAAGAAATCGATTAAGCCATGTCTGTCTGTCCGTCCGTCTGTCCGTCTGTCCGTCTGTCCGTCTGTCCGTGTACACGATAACTCGAGCAAAAATTGAGATATCTCAACGAAATTTGGTATGTAGGTTTCCCTTAATCCAAGGTAGGTTGGTATTGAAAATGGGCGAAATCGGACTTTAACCACGCCCACTTCCCATATAACGGTAATTTCCAGAAATACGAAAACTGCGATATTTTAGTAACTACTGAAGATAATTCACTCAAAATTGATATTTACAATAATTTTTAGGCGAAAAATAAGAATATTGTAAATTTTTGGAAAATGGGCGTAGCCACGCCCACTTATGGTTACATGTGTATATCTTGGTAACCGCTGCACCAATTTCTTCCAAACTTGGCACAGTTGTTGGCCTTCGCATAACATACCAAATGGCCGAAAATTTTTAAAATCGCTCAATAACCACGCCTACTTCCCATATAACGGTAATTTTCAGAAAAACGAAAACTGCGATATTTTAGTAACTACTGGAGATTATTCACTCAAAATTGATATTTATAATAAGTTTTAGACGAAAAATAAGAATATTACAAAATTTTGGCAAATGGGCGTAGCCACGCCCACTTATGGTTACATGTGTATATCTTGGTAACCGCTACACCAATTTCTTCCAAACTTGGCACAGTTGTTGGTCCTGGTACAACATACCAAATGGCCGAAAATTTCTAAAATCGGACAATAACCACGCCCACATCCCATATAACGGTAATTTCGAGAAATACAAAATCTTCGATAAATCAGTAAATATTGAAGCTAATTTATTCAAAATTGATGGTTGCAACAATTCTTTACCAAGAAATACGTTTATAACAAAATTTTGGAAAATGAGCGTAGCACCGCCCACTTGTGATATGTATCTCGCTAGCCGTTCTAGCAATTTGTACCAAGCTCGGTATGGTTATTGTGCTTGCCACATAAAAGCAAACCGTTGAAAATTGTTGAAATCGGACTAAAATTGAGGCCGCTTTTCATATAACGGTAAATTTCAAAAATGCTTGAAATTTCAATATTTCGAAATTTAAGGACGCTAATTTACTTAAAATGTATACATCCCGGCTTATCATGTAGCGGTAGCTTTCGGAAAGGTGGAAAACATATATTTAATACTTGCGCCGGGTATTTAATGTTCGGCTCCGCCCGAACTTAGACTTTCTTACTTGTTGTACATAAAAGTCTGCAGCAGTTTGTTTAAATTGATTTAGAACGGGAACATATCTTTTTGTCAAAAGCCTACGAAACGCTTTCAAATAAAACATTTGCCTATTTGAAACTTTGAGGCGCTTAAAGCAAGTGAAGCAAAGCTGCCATTTGGCCACCCTTCATACGTTTTAGTATATTCCAAATAACTTTTGACAGTTTCCAAAGCTAAGCAAGCAAAGCAAGCCTGCATTGGGCCAGCGCCTTAAGAAATTAACCAGTGTTGCCGCTGCTCAAAGAACTTTCTAACCAAGATTAGACGAAAAAGTTACCAAAGGAAAAATAACTAATTTTTTTATTAGAATAACAATTCAGGTTATCACAAATTCTTTTATATAGTACGTATAGACAAATTTTACAAACCAAAGAAAACTAATTTTTATTTGCATTTTTGAAAAGTAAAACCTTTTAAGGCTGAAAATAAATGAAATACATTCATATATATAAATACATATTTTAGGAAATCAGGCTTCCCCTATTAGGTGTATATGTTTTTTTTCTAGAGGTGGCACAAAGCATTGAAAGTCGGAAAGTGTGGGACTTGCCTTTCGGCTCACGGCACTAAAAACCCACCCCTTCTCCGATTCCCTCGCTCCGTAGAACTACCGTTAGGCATTACTTCGCTGAGGGGGAGCGGCCTATTACCCCTCTATGAAAGCCTGCGGATTTGTTCCGATCGACGCAATTTAGTAAAAATGGTGTTTGCCATATTGCAACGGACCAGTTCTCGTCTCACTCAAGCATAGTATCCACTAGGTTTTCAATAGTAAGTGGCCTCCCCACCTTCATGCTCGAGTCATCCCTTTCGATTTCAAACCTCGGACAGACGAAAAAACAGTGTTTAGCGTCTTCAATAACGTCATTTGCACAGAAGGTGCAGTAAGGATCGTCTTCGTGTTTGAATTTATATAAGTAAGATTTAAAACAACCATGTCTCATCAGTATTTGGGCTATGTGGAAGTCCACTTCACCGTGCCGTCTTTCTAGCCAGTTTCGTAAAGAAGGAATTAGGCGATATGTCCGGCGTCCCTTACCTGAAGTGCTCCATGGACTCTGCCACCTCTGCAAACAATTTTGCTTCGCCGCGTCACGGTTTGTCTTATTCACTGTGGTTTCAGCCACCTCTCTTGCCAAAATGTCAATTGGGCACAGACCCCAGATATTACAAGCGCTGCTTAGGTGCATATGTATGTTAATATCTTCGTAAACATTACCAGACTCTAAATTACGTTTTTAAATAAGTACATAGGTACACAGTTTCCAACTTCTTTGTAAGAATCAATGAAATACGTAATCAGCGTGAACAACCACATTGTATATACAGATTTTATAGTTAAGATTAAACAATTAAAAATCGGACTGTATTTTAACTAAGTATATCGTCGCTCAGCGCGAAATACCTCGTATACGCCAAACGCAGTACCGCGTATACGATGGTAAATAAATGTTACAAAAGCGCAAAAAACCGATTTTTTCAAAACTGTGGAATGGTAT